ATGAAAACTCTTCTAAAACACTTGCATTACCTTTTACTCCAGAGGAGTGAGACACTTTAAAATAACTAGAATTAATAACATTAATGTTCATTTTCAGAGTTCTGGGTCATTCCATGAAGAGCAGAATTTTAAAAAGCAGAGTTTAAACCAATTTTCAGATAGAATTTTCAGAATGATTTCTGTTCCATTTTTCCATTTTTATTATTATAAGGTAAATCATATTTGATAACAATGTGAAATTATACATTGCTAAAATATTAACTAAGAAGGTAAAGGATACACTACTATATTATAACATTTTTTAGCTACTTAGCATACTCACAATACATTTTTATAATGTTCAGTGCTAGAGAAATGTTAAAACTTCTAGAAAAAACAACAGTGCTTGCACAATTCCTTTCTTTTACAGACATAGAAATTTCATGAACAATTTGAATGCAGTTCAGTTCTGAGACTTTTGTCTGAATCAACTCTGCGTTTCCCTCCAGGACAAAAATGCATGCATAAACTTGTAATTGATTTCTCAACCTGAAGGCAGAGAAAGTATTTCAGCTCTGGAATGCAGTATAGAAAAAAACTCAGAGTATTACAATATGCACTTTGCATCAAATCACAAGATTAAATTTTAACGTATAAACACATCTATATCTGACATGGGTTTTTATTAAAAATTATTGACTTACCTTAGAAATTGATTTATAAAACAGTATTCTATAGCTTTCCTATGGGTAGTACTTTTGTGCCTCCAGATATTTTACAGATAGTGCACATAAAATACTTTATTTCTTTTGATCAAAGTCCCAAGTTAACTCTTTGTCTGATATCAATTATTTAATTCTATCTTGCAGCCTTGACAGAGCTTAAAATTCAGTAGGATTAGTCCAGTTCTATACTGATGATGTTCCTCTCATCTTCTCTGATTTACAGAAAAGAATCTTTAAAAAAGGAAAACCTGAAGCTACTGAATTAATAGATAAGTCAGCTATTCAATCAGTCTCGTTCCTTCATTTCAGTGACTGAAAATCTAATTTTTATTTCTCCAGGTAATTAATACAAAATTCAACTCCTTGTGGCATACAGTTGCTTAAATTGCAACTAAGATGAGCTTAACTGTCTCATTCTCATCAGAACAAAACCCCTATCATATGGTAACACCCTGCTCTTGTAGAGTCATTCAGGAGCTTCTACCAGAAGTATCAGACTCAGGTGACATTGTGGGGAAAGGAGTCAAAAGATAAAGATAACTACACATCTAGATGTTTCTAAGTTGCAGAGATGCAACTATGTGTTGTCTCCTCCTTTTATCCCTATAGAATAAGGAAGAGGTGGAGGTGAGGGGAGTGCTGGGCAGTAAAGCACCTCTGCCCTCTGGGTTCCTAAAACAGGCAGTGGCACCCCAGTAAGACTTGTCCACACAGTCACCAGTACCTGCTACGCAATGATGTCAACACTCGCTTTTAATGTGTTCATGCCCAGATGGGTATTTAGTGCACTATTTCATGACACAAAAAAAAAAAAAGCACAGAAAGTAAAGGATACGCCTGTGCTAATGCCTTCAATATGGACACCACCTGAGATAATTCTTAACTACTTTGCCTGTTTCTGTGCATATTTCCATGGGCAGATAGCCTTGTTAATAATACACACATCCAGTTCTGATCATCTGTTGCCACCACTGTTCACAACATAAACATAATATGCTTTAGCCATACAGTGTGCACCTTCAGTGCATATGCACTCTTAGTGCCATCTTACTCCTATTTGGGGAGCATTTGGGAGGGAAATTTCCTAAAGACTGTGTATATGCTGGGCATACCTCATCCATGATCCACAGGAGCAGCTGCAGAGCAGTCCTACGGCAGATCCATGGCATTAACTAGTTTATTATGCACATGCATACTGACATTCAAGCAGGAGTGAGGTGAGGATTGGTCTCTTTTCCCAGGTAGGAAGAAACGGGATCGCACAAAATGGCTTTAAGTTGTAGCAGGGGAAGTTTAGATTAGATATTAATAAAAAGCTGCTCCACTGAAAGGGTGGTCAGGCACTGGAAGAGGCTGCCCACAGAAGTGGTGGAATCACCATCCCTGGAAGTGTTCAAAAGGTGTGTGGATGTGGCACTTGGGGATACAGTTTAGTGGTGCACATGATGGTGCTGGGTTAATGTTTGGACTTGATGATCTTGCAGGTCTTTTCCAACCTTAACAATGTTATGAGTCTGTGATTCGAGAGCTCAAAGTGTTTGACTTTCCATGATATCATTCCTTTAACACAGTCTACATGAAAGGATCGTACAATCCAGTATTATTTCTCTGTGTAAATGGAAACAAAACAAGCCTAAATGCTACAGTAGTGTTTTTAACCCCATCTTTCACAGCAAATGCATTAAACTCCAAGACTCAGCACTCCCAGGTGCTGAGGAAAAAATAAGTATTTCTTTTCTGAGGTTTTTCTCACTTAATTTTTTGAGAAGATAGTTACATCTAAACACATATCACTTCAGAACATGAGATTGCATGATTCATATTCCTAATCAAGAAAGGATTAGGAATATGAATCATATTCCCAACAGACTGTAATTGGTATTAAATGTATCAATAAGCAGTGAGTTCACATCATGACTCTGCTTGCCAGAAGGCTTGTATTCTCCATGATGAAGTACAATTTTTCCCATCAGGAAGTCAAAAGCTGGAGCCACTCTGCATTAAAACATTTGAGGTCAGACATCTATTAACACATTTAGAGACATGGGCAAATATTTCAAATACACAGTGATAGCTGGTAGATAATTTATTTTTAGTATCTCTTCAAAGGTGGTGATATTGATAATAACTGAACTCAAGAATAAGCTAAGGAGTACCAGAGTACCCTCTTAAAGCAAAAAAAAAATTTAACACATACATAAGTGAAACGTACAAACATGAAATACTTTTTTAACGTTTCATGCCAAAATTCATCTTAAGGCACTTTCATGGAATTCAACACACAACAATATACTTGGAACCAAAGAATATATCTGTATCCTTTTAGATAAACAAATAGCAACATCGTATATAAAGTTTGCATTTGTGATTGAAATCATACCTTTTATATTATTTCAGCTTCAGAACTGGTATACATATGTCACACTGTGCCAAATCTGTGCTTTGTTTTAAAACTTATTGTAGGTTATATGCTGCTTTCTTTTAAATAATCATAATGATGACTATGATGGCAATGACAATGACAAAATATCAAGTCTTACTTGTGTCCAATACTTGTTACTATATCAATTGTCTTGAAAAGTCATTGTTGAGTTGTAAGAAGATGTCTCTCTAGTTTATCCAACTTCCCAACCATAGCCTCCAGAGATCTTCAACATCAAATGCTTTAATCTGGTATTTTTTCAGACTTCTTTTCCAAGTGGTATTGAAATGGTTCCTCCACGAAGGCCTACTGATTCCTGTGTTGTTCAGTCAGAATTCAGGAGATTTGTTGCTAAAATTTGGGTAATATACAATTTTAACATTTTTTGGTATACTGAAATGCATGCAAGAAACATAAATGCACAATTCTGAAGGTCTTTTAAAGTGTCAGTCATTATAGAAAAAAGCACTTGATGAATACAATAGCATTTGAATATGTTCGCACTGCATCTCTAGGACAACATCTGGATGGAAAGGCCTTTAGTTAGAGCTTCATTATCTTCAAAGTTCATTATGGAGATGGATGATAGACTATATTGGTTAAATGATTTGCTGTGATCTACTGGTGGAAAGCATATGCTTTGGACTGCTGTGCTGGCAAAAAAAAGAAGCAAAAGGGAGTGGTTGTGGCCACTTAGTTTTGCTCCTAAAGACCGAAGTGTAAAATAATGAAAATTTTACAGAGGGCTTTTAAAAATGCCCAGAATTTGCCCTCTTAATGAGATGACCTTCAGAAAGTCCTCAAGTGGCAATTGCAGGATCATCATACAAGCCTAAGGAAAAAACACAGCTTCTACCATTCTGTTTCAGAGAGGCAAAGTGAAGACAACCTGGCATACCTCGACAACAGATTAGGGCAGGTAGAATTTGGGAACTGGATTGTAGATCATGAGGTTCTACCTGGGGCTGTGAGAGCATAGAGGGGCCTGCTGCTGACACACATAGGATTGAAGAAGTAGGATTTGGAACAGCAGTTGGAGTTTTCATGTGGTAGCACAAATCACATCAGATTTTATCTCTGATTTTCTAACAGAGAGATTTCCTTTCAATTCAAACCTATATGGATCAACTATGGACCATCATATATGGATCATCCATAGAGAATAAATAAACCCTCTACTCCATAGAGAGTAACATTTGAACTGTTTGCAATCCTGTTTTGCTGCTTTATGAGCAGTATGTTTCATAATCATGGAGGTTTCCTGAAGATAGCCAAGGCATTCAGGACCAAACCTCTACCTTATGAAGTCAGAAAATGGCTCGCTTTCTTTTTCTTCTTTTTTCCCCCTCTAAGGAATCCAACCCAAACTGAATTTGCCTGAAAGAACTGAGTAGCTGGATCATCTTGCTCTGCCTTTTTCTGCTAATGCTACCCTTAAGCCTAGAATAGCTAAAATTTGCAACCTCTTGAAGATACTTTTGTCCTGGGCATGTGTTGGGGAAGTAGACAATACAGCCATGTCTGCCTCACAGAATAAACTCTGCTAGTTCCAGCTTTGATCTCCACATCACTCTGCCAGTCTTCCCCCAACAAGGCAGAGACAGGAGCAGTTTATTTGACTCAGTAACTGGTTCCTGTTGCTAGAACTAAATGACCAAAGTGAAATTGGCAGGACATTAGTTTGGCACCATCTTTGAAATTTGTCAGCATTATTTCATTGAAAGATTAAAAAGTTTATCTCACAACACATCTGGCTTCAGTATTCACCATTTACAAAAATGTGAACTGGGACTGACTATGCAAATGCAGCATACATACAAATACATCTATAGAACAACAGAAGTATCAAAATACACTGTTAAGACTGCAAAACACATGTTGAGATTTTCCTTTTATTCTACTAAGTTGATTTTTGTGAGTTTTTTTCTGTAATAAATCTATACCAAATCAATAGATTACATTGTCTTTGATTGTTCTTATCTGTACTGCAACACATAAAACAATAATTTTTAAGAAAGTATCTAATTCCTTTTATTGAACTGTGCCTTTCCCAACTGGCAATAAAACCCTGGAAAACAAAAAAAAAATCCCCACCCAGATAACCAGAAACCATATTGCAGTGCCAGCATCAACAACATAGCCATTCACTTCAAGAGTGGGAACTTGTACACTAGGTATTTTTCTACTCAGAAATTATTTGTGTGAGAAAATAGAATCTAGGCTTTGATAAGAAAGACTTTCATCTGATAACTGGATTTTTTCATTTTTATGGGCTTCCACAGTGCCTCCAGGGACTTGTACGTTTCAGTTTCTGATTCTCCAACATTGACTAAACACTCTGGACAGATTACACTGTTGTCCCACAGTCAGCTCTCTCTCTTAATGAGATAATCTAATACCTGTTGAAAATCTAAGTGACAGTAAATTGGAAAGATATAGTCCAAACAAGGAATCCAACTATAGAGGATAAGAAGTACACAAGATGTTCAAACTAAAACTTCAAAAAATACTGATGGTCAAATTTACAAATAGAAAAATTTTATTATAGTTTTAAATGTCTTTTCTTTGAGAAAAATTCTGTAAGGGGCACTCTACTAAGAAAAAAAAAAGAAAAAAAAAAAGAAAAGAAAAATGTTATCAAAATGAATTTTCCATCATTTGCAAATGAATTTTGACAGAAAATTGTGGGCCTGAACCAAACTCCCCACTGAGTGTGTCTGTCACTGCTGCCCATGGGGTAAGCAGGGCAGGTCATTTAGGATAATGAATTCATCCGAAAAATGCAGCCTAATTCATTTTGCTAAGAAAAAAAGCAGGAATACCTGTGTTCAAATACCTCCAGGCAGACTGAAACTAAAAATGTCCATAGCCTGTAGCTTGTACCATAATACAGTAACATTTATTTTTCTCCTTAACAGCAGAACTGATCTCAGGGGAAAGAAAATGAAAAAAATCAGAAAGAAAACACTTGAAAGACAAAAATATAATTGGTTTGAAAATTGCAAACAATAAACAACCATTACTGAATTTTAGAAGTTTTGACATTTCATTCAACACATGATCAAAATATCTGAAATATGGTCAGTTAATATTGTTCTCAGACTTTTAAAGAACATATTAAGCTACTGTTATTTAGGCTACCAGCTCTACCAAATTATTTATAAAGCCAGTAATAAATATATGAGCAATGCAGAAATATAAGTAGAAGTTACACTTTTTAACTTTAATTGGAGGCCAGAGCAGGTGGTGTCAAACAGCACAGCTTCACTGCAGTGTCTGAGCAGAATTGTGACTTCTGTCAGTTCTGGATCTGGCTGACTCTCGCACATTATTTCAATGCCTGTTTTTCTTGCAAATGAATGCCTTTGGAAGAGTTTTGCTGCAAATACAGTTGTACAGTGACAGGTAATTCCTTGCAACATTTCTGTTTACACCACCTTTCAACACTGCATGTTATACTGTGTAACCAACTGCAATTAACAGAGGTAGAAAACTAAAAATCCCACCATTAACCATCATATTCAGTCACAAGGGAAAACCTAACTGAGAGCTAATTGATTGAAAGCCTTAGAAAGTCAGTGAATGGCTGAATATAACAAATACCCTATCAATAGTATGGATTATAACTTTGATGTTCTTACCCCAGATAACGACACTGCCACTTGAGTTAGAGAATTGCTCCAACAAGGAATTTGTTGTGGGGTAGAATTAATAACTATTAACTAAAGAGTGGGGGAAAACACAAGAAAAAATATCAATTGCAATTTTTATAAGAGACTTCATAGACTCTTCCTATTCCTGTCTGGCTCTGGTACTGCCTTCGTCCACCTCCTTCTCTTCCTTCTTGCCTGAAATCCGTTCCTCTTGCCAGCTGGACTGGGACATTAGCTTTTCCCATCACAAAGGACAGCAGTATTTGGTCTAACAATACAGGGAATAGAAATCATAAAATATTCAGTCATATCAGCACAGATCAACCTGAAGAGTAACTATTCACTGTACAGCAGTACTTCTGATAATCTGATCAGTATTTAATTTAAATCAATATTTGAATATGATTTAAAGACAATTAAACCCCCACAATTTTATAGCTTTTCCACTGATATTTGAGACTGCTAGCACTCAGAAAAATTACATGTGAATAGCACTGCTGAAACATAGTATAATGTAGACAGACGATATGCAAGTGTCACCAAAGGTCTCTGGGAATGCAGCTCTATTCTCACCAGAAAGAGCCTTGCTAATATTCCTTCCATCCTCCTCTGATTAGATTGCAGACACTGAAAGGGAATAACTAGCTACCCGCATATAACACCCACAAACCAGCAAACAAACAGCATTTTTGAGATAAAAATAGGTAGATCTATTTTTACCATGAAGGGAAATAATTAAATTTGAACCTGAAGGAGTTCTAAGCACACTCAGCCAATAAATTGCATGCCAAACAGGTCTGAATACCAAATGAAAGTGTACACTCCTAACACCCATTTTTAGTTAAAGTATGTATATCCATGGGTACGAGGTGTAGGGAGGTGTCCAGTTAACTGCTTGCACATCAGGGAACGCATGGAAGATAAAATCCCATGGAGTGAAGCCAAAAATCTGGGCTGCTGCTATGCTGCTGATACCTGCCATCCACAATGGAATTTGAAACTGAAGCAGGTGTTGTGTAACAAGCACAACAAATTCTTTTTTTTTTTAATTATATTAAGTGGCTTGGCATTTTATAAATGTATATAAGGAATTGATTTAAACTAGTTACTATTAATAGCCGGCAAAAGATTTTTCTGACTCTGTGCTGCCCTTTTAAGATTTGTCAGACTGTTCCCCAATCAGACCACAATGATGAACAATTCGTTGTTCAATTTGAAAACATATTCAAGTTTAGTCATGTCAGGTTCCTTTACAATTATGTCTCAATTTGTTGGATCAGTTAGTTGCAAAATATTACTACTTAGAAATCCAGAATCACAGACCAGAAAGTACTTTTGGACACAAAACATCTAAGATGCTTTTTTTTTTAACTGATAAGACAGTGGTGATGGAAGCACTGAGTCTGGCTTGCACAACACAAAAACTTCATGTATATGCTACAGAACTGCAGAGAAATATATATTTGTGCAACAAAAGACAATTTTCCAGCTTCCTTATCCACAAAATAAGGGATGATCATAAAATATTGATATGTCTTACAAATAGAGGAAATGTAATAAAACATCAAAAAGTAGTCAGTATTTATGCAGAAGCACTGTTTTCCTCAGGGTCTCTGTCTACAAGGTGAATGCTCCCTGTGATCACCGATTCCTCTTGAGCTGAGGTATTCTCCACTTGCTTATTTGTGCAATATGGAATGTGTCCACAGAAATACATGTAAATCCATGGATTGGTGCAACTATTTAAATTGCCAAGGAGCATGATAATGGTGAATGCTGAACCTAGAATGAAAGAGTTAAAGGAATAAGAGAGTAAATAAATGCTTGTACAAATAAGAACCATTTTCACAGTCTGCTGCTTTCTGCTGTACTTATTCATATACTAAAGTTTATCTAATAGTAGAAAATTCACATTTTAATGCAGTTTGGAATTGCTGAAGATATGAAGCACACTTTATTGCGTGCATTTCAGAATTAAATAGTTCCATGTAGTTCTTTTTTGATGTAGCTGCATTAAATTTAAAAGCAATTACTAACCTTTTATACAAATACAGATAAATACAGATATAGATATATAAATGTATGTAGAATAAGACTCCAAGTCACACAGACAGCAATAATTCTTAAAACAAAGATCAGAAGATTTTTTTTATCAGACAAAGCTATTATCTTCTTTTTCTTTTGTTTTTTATCTCTGATTTCAGAATGGGTGAATTTATAGAGTCTGCCTTTCACAAAGAGGCAATAGCACAAGTTTGACAAGATTAATCTTGTTTACAACCTGGCGTTCTTTGATAACTCTCTCAGACTTGCTGTTTAGCTTTATAAACATCTGATTTACAACTTCCAGTGCTACAGTGGCTACTACAGAGATTTCATCAATATGATTTCAATATTAAAAAAAATCAGATGTCTTATAACACCCCTCTTCTATCCAGTAAATAAGAAATATTTATCTCATTCCTTTGGATAGTCAATTACTCCTTTTCATCTCAAAAATAAATACTAAATACAACCCAAATACCATTGCTATACTACCTAAAACCTCTAAAAGTCTGAGCCTTTGCTGAAGCACATGATACTTTTCACCCCACTCTTCATTAATCTTTAAGCTGTTAATCACACAAAACACACACATGGAGTTTTCATCACATAACACATGAAGTTCCCTGTACCTAATTAAATAAATGAGATAACCAGTCCAGAAATTTCTTTTTAATCCTACTCAAATGATCACAGTAACTTTTACACAAAAGCAAAGTGCAAACATAAAGGAATTGATGGCAATGTGCTAGCTTGCTATGCAGTTAGTAATGAGGATGGAGAGTATCTTACCTTCAGTCACGACACTGGGGAACCACACAGACCACAGCTGCGCAATGAAGAAAGGTGACCAACAGAGCACATATGCAACAACTGTCACCACTGTCATTTTTACTGTCTTGATCATAGCCTTTGAAATACAGTTCACACTGCTTGCTCGGGATGGCAGGACTTGCTTCTGATTTGTTGTTTCACATTCATTCTGTTTTTTCACATATATATTTCTTCTGATTATTTTGCAAATTTTAACCTGGCATGTGATAAGAATGGCTGAGGGAATGAAGAATATAACTACAAAAATCCAAGTCACATATGCCCTTGGGCCCCATGGTTGAATAAATTCACCCCAACATTCAAAGATACCTGGAGATATTTCAGTCTTAGAAAAGATAAATACCTGTGGTAGGCTAAGAATCAGTGCTATAAACCAGCTGGTGAAAATAGGGATGTTCCAGAGAGCTCTCTTCTTTTGGAATGTGACCATAGGGTAGCAAACTGCTTGATATCTGTCCACTGTCATGACCACTATCATATAAGTAGAGGCAAACATGCCTAGCAATTGTAGGTACTTGATAATTCTGCACAAGAAATCTGGCCCTATGAAAACATCTGTAATATCCCATATGAGTTGAGGCAGAACTTGAAAAAAGGCTACCACTAAATCAGCAATGCTGAGGTGAAGCATGAACACATACATCCTAGAGAGCTTCTTTCTTCTTCGCCACAGCACCAGTACGAGAATAAAATTGCCCACAGATGCTGTCAGAAATATGACCCCCAGTACAGCAATCTCTACTTGAGCTAATTGTTCATCTCTTTCTGGTCTTCCAACAGGACCTGACTGATTTGTCAAACTCGGGAATCTGTGAGAAGGACTCTCAGTCTGATATGTATTATCCTGCATAGGAAATGAAAAATTCTTCATAGTGCACAGAAGCTACTTACAGTAGCTGCCACTTACGACTCAGGTTGACAGCTGTGAAGCACCTGCTGGCAAACAAACCAGGCTGGCATTCGAGTTTCAGTGTATCTTCAAGCAAAACTCCTCCTGCTTGTGCAAACTAAAGCAGTGGGACCTGAATCTTGATGAAATTCTGTCTTGCTGGCGTGCACAAAGGCTTTATATAGGCTCCCAGCAGACAGAGCCTTATGTAATTGCAGAGCCCTCGGGTAGGCTGCAGGGACCACAGCCAATGGCAGACCGAGCCACACAATTGGGGGAAATATATAAATAAAAGGCAAACTTCAGAGGCTCAACATGATTCAATTACTCACTTCGGTCAAAACCCTAACTTGTAAACAGCTGTGGCCAAAGTCATCCTCAAATGACCTTACTCAGGAGACCTCTTGCAAGAATTTTTCTACGCAAACCAGAGGAGCATTCTTCAGCTGAACTGGGAGGAATGCTTATAAGTAGAAAAAAGTTGGGTCCCTGAGCTCAGGCGCATCGTAACTGCAGCTCTCCAGGCTCCTGGGGCACAACCACACCCTAAATGCAGCACAGACAAATAAATGCCTTTTTCCATAGCCCCTTTTTTTCTTTCTCTTTTTGGAGCCACCTGATTCTAAAATGAAAACTATTTGAACTGCCCTAAAAATAATCTTTTTATTTAAAGATGGGGTCAAGACTTAAAGGGTTTTTTCTCAGAAAAATGAAAAATAACACATGAAATAAATTACTTTTACTGGGACTCTGAGTCTACTGAGAATTAACAGAAAAATAAGTGAAAATTCAGTGGGAAATCCAACTGAGGAAAAGGTCTCTATGATGAAACAATTTCCAAGTGTATTTATTCTACTGTAGTGCTAAAAGCTGGGAGGTCATTTCTCAGTACCTAAACCTTCTTATTTTTGTGGCGCAACTTATATCATGACCACAGGAAATTCATTGTTCTTCAACCTTCCAGTATGACTTGCATATTGTTAGTCACAGATAAGAACAGCAATTTTGAATTAATTTCATTTTTTTCTCCCTCAGCCTTTCCCTCTTAATCACAAAAGAGAGATTTAATAAAATGAATTCATTTAAAATGAAAACAGATATTTGTATGCAATCTTATTTGAAGCTAGGGCACTCATATCTTTCTGGTTACAGTCAGGTCACTAGTAATTTGAAGTCTTTTTGAAGAGGAAACCAGTAAGGTTGAAAGTAATATCCATGCTCATAAAGAGTATATAATACTGCACCTAAACTGATAGATCACTGTGATCTTGACTATATTATAAGACCAGCTCAGGAAGCTCACAGACAGACTACTACCTCTTTGCCACTAAAGGTTTTCATGTATCAACAGACAGGTGAAGGGCAAAATTCATAAACAGGATGGTGAGGTAGACTAGAACAGTTTACAAAAACAATGTGATCTCTTTTCTCTCTCTCCCTCTTTCCCCCTTTCATAGCACCGCGGGATGGATGTTAACAGCTCATGCAAAGGTATGACTATGAGAACAGATAAGAGACAAGCTGAACAATCTCAGGAAACTTTTCCACCAACAGCAGCTATAAGTAGCTGTAATCCATACTTGGCTAAACACTGCTGCAGCTGCCTGAGTCTACAACGGCTTTTCTCTAAGACTGTTGCAAAGAGTATGAATCACAACCACTTAATCTAATATACCTGATAATTTGTTTTCCTAAATTAAAGCCTATTTGTAGTAAACTTGGATTCTTGAGGTTGTTTCCTTTTAGTTTCCCCCATCAGTTTGGAACCCCTCTCTTTTAGTGGGAAACAGGCATATCAAGATCATAAAGGAACAAATGGGTTTGTCTTAACCCTCATTCTCCCTTCACCCAGAAACTTGCAGAAGACCAATTGAACTGATCACAAATCATGAACCCCTGGCAATTCCGCTGACAGCAAACAGTGTGCTGTGGAGTAGGTGGGCTGATCTCAGGTTCTGTCTTCTGATGGAGACCGAGTTTCAGGCATGTACTCCAAAATTATTTACCTTGACCATCCAGACTCCATGAAATAATGAAAAGCCAGGTGGGATCTTTATTCTTCTAGCAGGATACAGACCAAATATGTACATCTATGCAGAGCTAGGTCTAAGTGGATTGAAATAGGAATACGTGAACAGAAAATTAAGCCCAGGGTCAGGCATGGAAAATAAACATGAATTTACATTTCATGATCTGAAAGATAATCAAGCAATTATGTGCAAGAAGACCAGAATATGCAACACAAGTCAATTCTGAGATACTATTGGAAGGCTAACCAGAATGTTATACCAGAAGCATACATTCGTACAATTTTTCACAATGCATAATGTATGGGTAGACATATATTTCAGGCAAAGGTGTTTTATCACCTAGAATCATTCAACAAGATCCATGGGAACATGCAACTCTTCCTAGGCCTACACACATACAGAGCAGCCCTGGTGTCTGGGCAGCAGCCCTGGTGTCAGACTCGAGCATGTGGACACAGGTTAAAGGGCAAGCACACTGAGAAACAAGTAGCCCTTGCCATGTTTATAAAAAGGGGGGTGGACCTGTTTGTACAAATTGTCCTAGTGGTGTAAGACTCTATCTTGTATATAATCAGTTCAGTGTATATTAATGGCTTCATAATTTTGGAATTGTGTCCTTTCAATCTTTTTCATGCATGCTAGCAGACAGTCAGGATAGTGTTATATTGAAATTTGATCCACTCTGGGAATGTAACTCACTGAGAAAAGAAAATTAAGATAATACATAAAAATATTTAAGTAGTCTTAGTGGTTCTTTCACTCCAGTAGTGTCCTCCTCCCATTGCCCAGTTTTGCTTCATTCTAAACTGTATCTGTTCAAGTTAAATTCTATTCCTAAATTATTTGCTTTCAGTAGTGTGGGAAGGCACATTTTAATTAACTTCTGCTGAACTTCTCAGTGTGGGTTCTCATCTAATGTTTGTCAGTTAGCTAGAAGGAAGAGATTCAGCTCACAGATTAAGTCTCAAAATTAGATATGTTCTCAGAACTTCAGAATCACACAGCTACCACTTTACCGAGAGTTTGTCCAGTCAGGTTTTGAAAACCTCCAAGAGCTTAGAATCCCCAAACCTCCCTGGGTAATTGTTTGCAAATGCTTATTTTCACTGAGAAAGAGCTTTCCTTATGTGCCACTAGACCCTCCCCCGATTCTGAACATGTCCTCTCATTCTTCTGCCATAACCTCACTAAAAGCCTGGTTCACACCTCTTGCCAGCATCCTCATAGGTATAGGAGGGCAATGTTAGGGCTTCTGAAGTCATCTCTCCTCCAGGATGAACAACCCATATTGGGAGCACTGTGGAAAATACTGTATTCAAGGAGTTAGTGATCTTGAACAAGATATGTCTGCTCTACTGATCTTTGTACTTAAAGCCTGTGCTGGTGCCGGGGAACGTTATGACTCAGATGGCAACCCAGACTGTCAGGAGAAAAAACATGATTGTTTGCCCCACAAAATAAAAGGCTCCACATTGTGGAAGGAAGGAGGAACCCCTGCACAGACGGCATCTGTGCAATGTGTTGGGCAAGATCCACTAGATGTCTATCCAATGCTGCACAACAGCAGAGCTCCCAGCATTGGAAGGGACCTAAGATTTCCTCACTGTATATATTTCTGGTTTTTATCCTATCTTATGAGAACACTTCTTTTACCTCTTTATTGCTGTGCCACCCTGGTGAGGAGTACAAGCCCAGCTCACTCAGCCTCCCTCACTAGGTTACATCTTCATAGCCCTATGCTGAGCTCACTCAAGCTCATCAACACCTTTCCTGTGCAGGGGCTCCACAGTGAGAGGCAATATTCCATATGTGGTGAGTAGGGGGGAATAAACACCTCCCTTGATCTATGTATTTCATGTGAGTTGTGTGTGTCAACTCCCATCACAATCTTTGTCTTCCAAAAACTGTATGAATTGCAGCGCATTGCAAATCTTTCTGCCAAGCCAGGCAAGGAATATATGCTGAAGCAGAAATATGTGTATTTTAGAGTTAAAAGCCCCCCACAAGCTTCTAAAACCCAGAAACTGTTTAATCTCATGACAGATATTACTTATGAAATACAACTTGTGAAGATAATAGGTTTGCACACTTTTACTTTGGAATGCATAAACAAGTTCTAAAAGGTTCCTATTTAAGTAAAGATCAAGTGAGAAATATTGCTGTCTGCTTTTGATGTAAGAAACCCAGGTCTGCCTCTTTTCTCTGTGAGATTCTGTAGATCTGAAGGACTAGTAGATTGCACTTGTCAAGTCATGAAAACCAACTAATTAAGAAAAGAAAATTTTCACATGATTTGTCACATCTCTACAGAATTTTAGATAAATCAAAAATTATTTTCTTAGTGCTTATATGATTTTATCTCTTTTCAAACACTAAAATGTAAAAACAGCTTCCAAGGGCCTTAGAGGGTGGAAGGGACTAGAGCATGCAGTAAAAGATTCAGTTACAAAGAAGATGGTAGGAACATTTACTTCTTAATATGTTTTTATAAAAAACACTTACTTAGTAATATGCTCTAGGGTAGATAAAAAGAGGTAACCTAGCATTGCATTGAAATTGCCCTAGTGATAGAGAATACACTTGAGGAGATGTATTAAGTAATGCAAATAAGTACAAGTAGCAGGTAATGTTATGAGAAATCCTTCTGGAAGTAGTGCAATGGCTCGCAAATGGATTATTTCATACACAAGATTAGCCAAAGTTACAAATGAATACTGTTCAAGGACTTAGCCTGTGGCACAAGTGCATTTACAGCAAGGTAGCATATTTTTCAGTATTATAATATTGCTTATTTCCAGAACGCAATGGATAAACTACTTCACTGTAAGTAATTTTTACTGGACTAAAATTATGTATGTCTTATTGCTTCTGCACTGGTACAATTTCCTACAGTTCTGGATTCTTAAAGAAACACCATCATTAATTCAATAGTTATGTTAAGGTATATTATACAAGGTTCTTTGGACCAGGGTTAATGGCTCACTCCTATATAGTTAGAAAGTTACTAGACTGGCTCTGTGAAACTAAAACAGGTTCAAATGCAACAACTAAAGGCAATGTGCCAACAAAAACCAGAGAAAAATACGTTGCAGACACTATT